CTTGGAGACGGTCGGTGACTCGATCGATTTATCGAACGCGATCGATCAGCGATCCTTCCGCGGAATAAAAGGTCGTGGAATTTGACATCGATGCATTTGATTTTAAATCCGACTTGGCAAGAGGCTCCGATAGCTGGCATTCTCGAAACGGTGACGCACCGCGATAAGATAAGTGACGCCAGTAAATCTCACCTTCTCATTTCGCTTCCGTTCTGCGAACCGAAACGAGAAAGAAACCAGGTGCGAATTAAACTCCTCGCTGAAAGCTTCAGCACCCGTGCGAAAATCTTTTACACTCGTACAATGTTTTTTTAACACGTTCATCGCTACGTCACACACACACACACACGTGGATGACAGGGCTTTTTACCGTGGAACTAAATAACATAATTTCGAAGCCAAGATGTTAAAGAAAATAAATTTGGTTAGAACTCGGGAACTTTGATAACGTTACGAAAATAAGTACCGAGACGAACGTTAGATCGCGTAGGTCTAGATTGTCTCAAAACAAAATTTTATTTTGACGGAAACGTTCGCGTACATTCATGTGGCAATCAACGTGTTAAAGAGAAACTTTTTTTTTTTCAATTTCTTTAAAATTAAAGATGTCGTTTCCTCTGCAGAAATCGATAAATTCTTTCAATTTGCATTTAATTTGTTCGTTCGATCGATTTAATTTCACACGACACGAATAAAATCTGAACGGAGAATGGTCTGGTCTTCGAACACCGATCCTGAGGCTAAGTCGATGGACAAAGATATTACGGCTGCGGGGCACAGAGGATTCAGAAGCCTGCGAAGAAGGGCAAAATATGAAAGACAAGCGAAATTATTTAAAAACGATGCTCTAACGTCTAAGGAAGAATCCTGCAACGAGCCGGGATTGGCCGAGCGAAAGTAAAACAAAAAGTTTCAAAGCTAACGTGGAAAAGTAAACGCATCAAACTTTAAACGCGTTTTATCGTCGAACTATGTTTTTAGCGCTGGCGTCATTGATAACTCGAACACCGTCGAACCGATCCCGACTAAATTTGACACCGAGTATTCGTAATCGTTGTGCGACTGTTTATGTAATCCATTAACGAAATGTAACGAAAACAAGTTTGTTTTCTTTTACGTGACATAAGTTTTATAATATTTTTGCGAGTGCAACTTTGACGAGGTTACTTAGGCTTAAACCAAGGGAATAAACGTTCTTTCGTTCGTTTAATGATATTATTATCCTGGTAACATATTTTTCAGTTTACTCGTTCAACATTTGCTTTTCAATTTACCGAGTTCAAACGTGGTTCGCCAAAACGATGCAAATAAAAATAAATTCGGAGCACGCAGATATCTATTTTTTGTTCAGAAATTTTATCGCATTCCTTCCACTATAAGAGGAGAAATTATACGGTAAACAGAAACAATTGTCGACGCTAACAAGTGTGCCAGAGGAAAATGAAAAGGAAACTAAACGTCATTTAATAAACGGTAGCGATTTTTGTCCAACTTCCGTCGAAAAGTTTCCTAGCCAAAGTTGATTGTCCTTCATTCCTGTTCCGTTCCCACGATCATTCCCCGTCGCTTCGTAATGGTTCCCAACGCGAGCACCTGGCGTCAGTTTGATCGTCGCCTAAAATATCCGACCGTGACGTGGAAATCGATGCCACGTGCCTCGCGAACTTTCGAACCGAAATACTAACTAGCCTCCACGGCCCGACCTAAGGCAACCTCTTGGCGCGTGTCTTCGCCTCGTTCCGCTCTTAAATCTGTCGCCATGACGAACGTCGTCTAGGCCCTTCCCCACCTAAGCGCCGCGACGGCGACGGAATCGAGAAAAATGCCAGGGGGAATTGGCAACCAGCTGACACCAGGCGATAGAAACTTTTCGAACTGGTTTTATAAATTTCTTTCCAAACTGGGGAGAGAGTTTTCTTTCGTTTCATTTTTTATGGGGATTTCGAAGATCGATTTTGTTATGGATCTGCGACATAATGCTCGTCAAACTTGGAACTTGAAAAATGACTGGTACTTACGCACGCACGTTATATGTACATATCAAATTTTTCATGGAAAGAAAAATTCTGTTGCGGAATTGTGCCACGGTAAGCTCTTCCAACAGCGACTACTAGTTGTCATTATTCGCGAGCATGCAAGTCTTGCAGAAAAGAAATACTATATTCTCAGTCCTAGAGAAGCTTCTCACCGTTCTAATAATTTTTGTATAATATGAATTACTGTAAAATTTCCTTCTAAAGAATAAAAAATGTACCCCGGGTTCAATTATTCATTGTCTGTTTATTTGCAGGCTCGCGTCGCGCGCAAATTTTGCTAGAATAGCGGACGTTCGCGGCGTTGTCGAGCGTGCCCCGTGAAAATTGCTCTAACGCGTTCTAATTATTGCACAGAGTTCTCGGAACCGCCGAATAATTCGCTGTCGACTGTCAGCTCGCTCGAATAAAACCCGCGGGCACGCGCTATCTCTCCTCGACGGCGATGCTCCATTTGCATACCACTGCCAAATAGTCGCGACGACATTAAACGACGAACGAAACGTTCGCAAAATTTCACCTGCTCGTCTTCCGCGGCTGTCACTAATAAGGAAACGTAATCGTACGCCGATATCTTCGAAGTTAGATTCGAAAGCAACCTTTGACTCCGCGCCTTTACGTAATGCTCTGTTATATATACGAGTATATACGCTTTCTTTGTTTGCGTAACGAAGGCATAATAATCGTCTATAATGCATACTGTGAAAAGCAGCCAAGACCAAGTGGGAGAAAACGATAATTATATTCGAATTCGAGTATCTCGATGGAACTCGAAGATATGATTTTATTGGTCATAATTGTGGGAGGAATTACATTCAAATTCAAGTACCTTCTGCTGTTTCGTAACTCGATATTAATTACCACTCTAACTCTTGTTTTAATTAATTGGATTGTTACCTAGTTAAATGAAGGCTCGAGCATTGTACCATTGTTCCAAGTACTATCTCAAAAGCGTTTTCTAGTGTTTCACCCTTTCAATGATTTTGAAAATAATTACACTCCTACTAATTGCAACCCTTCAAATGACTCTATGAACTGTGGAATTTTTCTATTCTTATACGATTACTTAATTAGTCGACGACCTTCGCCAATATCGCGCAAGTGACGCGACAGGCGCCCTATCGAACGAAACACACACACAGTTCGAGCTCCCTCTCTATCAGTCAATTCTCTGACCGCCACCTGTGGCTTTGATAGTCTTTCACGGTCACCGCGGAATTCCTGAGGATCTGCGAGCGACGAAAAAGCGCCGGCGCGAACCCGAGCGCCGGGAGCAGTAGTTAACGCCTCGTGAAAAATAAACGTCAACTCGGCCCGCGATAATCGGAGCAGTCCCCAAGGTCAATCCTGAAATTCCAGTTCCGTTCCAGTCCAACGATACGACGCCAATTCGCGGACGAATTAAAATTACACCACTGCGACGACAGAACCCGAAGATCCGCACTCCGCTCCATTCTGGAAAATCGAGTCTCTTGGAGAACAATGCACCAAACGGTGACTTTGAGGAAGTTTGTTATACTAAGCGGTATCACTTCAGGAACGTGGCGAGTAGACGCTAGGACTAGTCGATTCGATACTTGCAGATCCGGTTACTATCTGAATTATCAACAGAGATTTGTATGCATCTTTTTTTAAAGATTGACATAGAAAAATTGCCTCGCTTTCTCTAGTTTCAAAGATATACGAGTACGTGTGATAGTTCTGCTGAATGGAGTAAGAAAAATATTCTTAATGACACCTGAATCTACGAACACCTAGGTAAAATATTGCCCAACTTCTACTGGAATTAAAAATTGTCTCGACAGATGACACATTCAAAGGGCCACAAATGTGACACTGTTTGTACGAATCGTAGACACCTCGAGAAAAATTATAAAATGGCCGTTGCAAACAGAATCAACTCCACGCTAGTCTACTCCATAAAATCAAAGCAGTTGAAGAGCGCATGTTTTCGAAGTCACGATTAAAAAGCACCTATCGTATCTCGAAACAAAGGTAGATGGACTCCACTCTCGCAAGGAACGGCTCAATTACTCTAGCGTGTTTACCTATCCGCGCACCTGCCCCGAAAAAGAAAGAGAATCAACCAGGTGGCCTTGATCTAAGCCAGCTCTGACCTAACCACGGCACGGACGCTTCCTACGGCCCGACCAGGGAAGCAAGATTTTGAAAAGATTTGGAGCAAGAATATTCGTTCGAACTGCCATTATCTGCGCGGCTTTATCTCGAGCTCGATTGTGCCATTCGAACGTTCCGCAATCCTAAACTACAACGTAAACTCTTAAACGGCATTCGACGCGACTGTCGAGCTACCTACTTTATTTTACTCCGATTCATTAATCAACGTTATCGCCGAGTGCTACATTTAAGAATGTAAATAGCGTTAATTAATGAGTGTTGGTAATAATAACAGCGACAAGAGAGCTTGTAATAGAGTGATGTGGTCACCGTGCGATGGTCTCCTGCGACAATGGATGGCGATCTTAACCTTGGCAGTTAGGATCGAAAGAAAAACAGAGCTCCAAAAGCGCGATGGAAAAAAATTGTGAAATTCATTGGAATCCACACCAAAACGTAAACAATTAAGAATATATTCTTAACACAGCGTAATGAACACAAGTGTCTATCGTGGTCACCGTTTCGTGGACTACTTTCCGCGACAATGGATCGCCAAGGTTAAGATCGAAAGGAAAACGAAGTCCCGCGAGCAAGTGTAACGTTATATCGGAATTCATGCCTATCCTAGTACTCGATTTCCGAAGAATATATTCCTAAAACGTCCTAACCCACACGGGTGTCGCTGAGATTCCAGAAACCCCTAAAAATCCGCACTGTTCGAAACGTACGACTTACAGCGCACTCTTGCTCCGATTTTTCGATTACGTGGCTCGCGATTCTTCAGGCTATGGCAACCGATCGCGAACACGCACAGGCACCAGGCAACGTCCCCCGTTCAATGGTACTTACGGTCATGCTTCTGGATGGACACACCGAGGGACGTGACGCCACGCGATCCTGGCACGGCGACGTTCGCCGTGAGACGTCATAATACCGCAGAGTCACGATTTGAGGCACACGATGGCACGGGTTAGAGGACCCACGGTCCCGGTTGGTTCACCGGCAGGATATATCGAGAACAGGTCTCCGGACAAATGACGCACTCGCGGTGGAAGTGAAATTCGTGGTTGGGGAACGGATTAGGCCGTTATCGCGCGAACCGTAATCAAGACTCACGCGAGGCGCGAGCGAAACTGACTCGAGCCGCGACTCGCACGCCGGTTTTATACGAGTGACTGGTTTCCCCCGTACGAGCCGCGGCGTTGGCCCACGATGCGTACGTACACGCACTCAGCCTCGAGAGAGGAAGCCACCGACGATACCTGCGAGAACCTCGTCTGACCGTTCGGTTCGCTCGTGCATGACCCCTTCGCCCGCGGAACCCGAGCCCGCCTCGGTCACTTTGCCAGCAATTTATGCTAAATGCATCGGGTTCGATGCATATGAAACGCTCGTTTTTCTTTCTCGCCGCGGTATGATGTAACGCCGTCCGCATTTCGTCGCCGCGACTAGGAAGCGAGGAAGCGCGCGGCAGTTTGCTCTTGAAAACTAGCGTGCTTTGCGAAAAAGGACGCCTGACCTCTTCCCCATCCCGAGTGTGGCGCCTTGGTCCAACGAAGTTTTGTAAGGAGGTATCGAAATGAAGGAAATGTTAGAAGTGGGGTCGTTTTTAGGAATTAGTTACGAGGAAACGAATGCTTCGGCTAACTTCCGCTTTTGTGTAATGGTTGTTTGAATCTCTGAGAGTAGGAAAATATTTTTTTTTTTTTTTTTTTGCTGTGAATATATAGGTGCCATTTTTAGGAAGCTCTGAAGATGGTGGTTCAAGCTCCGAAGGTAGATGTATCGAAATTCTCTTGGCGATGGTTACTCTAGAACCCCCTCCTAGAAGCTTGTAATTTTTACGCGAAAACTGGTGGAAAATTTACTTCGTTGAAGAAAGATTTCACCAGGCTCCTTTTTCTCTATAAGCGTTGAAACCTCCAATCGAGGAGTACGCAAATAAAAAGAGACCGGGGATTAACCCCGCAGCCTTCTCTGCCAGATAAAAAAATTATTCAATTTGGAGACGATTATTGAATCCCAGAGATAGAATATTTGGGTCACAGTGAGTTGACACTTTCGCAACCGGTGACGCTAGATTCGTTTCGAGAAACCGACGCGATGTACCGACCGGCCAAAAAGCATTTGTTGTAATCGTAATCGTTCTGTTTACGTCCTACCGTAATCTGCGTAACGTTAGTTAACGGTTGCCATTAACTCTTACCGTTTCGTAACATCGCATCCTTCCCGATAAAGATAGAAATTATCTCGGAGCACCGCGGAGTAGTCCGAGAACGAAGTTGGCGTGGTGAAAGTCACGAATTGCGCGGGAGAATCGTTTTATTTCGAATACGACGAAAACCAAGCCTTTTCGTGCCACGGCACGTGAGTCATCTTCGCGATATCGGGTAGGCGAGGAGCACGACGACCCTGGCACCGCGTAACTTTATTTCTGTCCTTCACCGAGAGAATTTAATGCGCGCCATTGCCATGCGATCGGTGTCAAACCGCGACTCATAATTCGGCCCCGAAGAGCACGAGACTCTCTACTCGCCGTCTGCAGCCACGCCCCGCCTATTCACGTGATCCCGAACACTCCGACTCGAGCAGCGGTAACGTGCACCAAACCCCATTTCGAGATCAAACGATAAATTGGAATTCTTTTTGAGAGGAGCGAAAGAATGGTAGTACACGGTACGAAGAACATTGGTAAATAAAAAACACGAGAGAACCCACGCTAAGGTAGCGCGAAGAAAATGGAGCGAAATTCGAAAGCAAGAAGCCTCCTCCGGCGCGGATATCGCGCGTTATTTTTCAAAATAATCCCAGACAAAGTTGGCAGATCGAGTCGGACTATCTTGGAAATTTGAGAAATTGAAGAACCGTGCGTTCCACTCGGGCCACTTTCCGCGAAGGTAAGCAGCTGCGCATTATTGGAGTACAAAAATGGCTACACCTTGGGGATAAGGGTCGAATGGAGCGCACGTTTGTATGAACTTTTTCCATTATTTTTGTGTTCCCAAGCCACCGAGCGAAGTGGGAGTCCCGCCTGTTACGATACACCCTGCGCATTCACCCACTTGACCCTGTTTCTGCACCGAGTCTGATCTCGCCCTCTTCTTCCTATTTGCTTTCAAAAAATCATCGCGGAGGAGGCAAGAAGACCGAGAATCCATATATACCCCCTCCAGCCACGACAGAGACAGATCTTGCCTCGCTGCCAGATCCTTGCCAACATCTTCGGTTCCCTCTGACTCCGTAGTCGCGAGATAACGCGCCTCAGAGACCCCAAAGGTTGCGAGTTTACTCATGGAAAATTGCCTTGGCGTGCCACCTAGAGACGCACTAGACTACTCCGTGTGTACCCACGAAAACGAGAGGAACTAGGAAAATACCTACGTTTGCTCGCGTACGTTTCGCAGTGCTCCGATATCTTATCGCTTGCTATCAGACGTCGCGCGAAAAACTGCCTCGAACAAACAACAACAACGATAAATGACATTTTTTTACTTTTATCAACTCTCGCGGAATCAATAACACGATCGAATCGGTTACTTCGCGTTCTCGAGGAAAATGAGAAAAAGATTCTGGAATCTCAGAAAATCTGGGGAAAATTTCTGTTTCGAATAACAAGGCTTTACGTGGTTCCACGTTTTCGGTAGACGTGGATAGAACGGTTTCCTATTTACGAAGATTCGTTGTAAACTTGCCACGAAGAAGAAATCCAGTGGATCAAATTTGAGAAATTCCGTTGTGGAATGCAAATTCAATCTGAAAGATAAATACAGTCCTTTACAAGCATCCGTTTTATTATCTTTGGACGGTTCGACCTCGTATTCTCTTCGACAAACAATTCCCATCTAAAAAATTCAATAAAATAACGAATTCGATAGACTGTTTCGAATAGACTGTTTGGTATACAGTATTTTAAAATAATAAATTGAAATATTGCTACGTCTTGCGTCTCTGCTCGAGTAAACTGCAAAACACCTATCGAATGTTGCGCCCAATAAATAATAAAGAATCTGAGAAAGACCAGCGAATCGCTTATTTAGACACCCGATAATTCTCGAAAGCTATGAATATTGTAATGCGCGCACGCGAGCTACGCGACCGCAATGGTCGGGACCGCGAGCGAAGTATTAATTTCTTGCTGTTTCCGGCGCCGTGCTCGTTTATATGTTCGCGCGACGACGCACGTAACGCGGTAACCCTTGGAACACTGTACGAGAAATGTAACGTGTTATACAACGCGAGCCCCGTGCTATGACCGCTGGAGAAACTCGTATTTCATCACTTCCAAAAGTTGGATTAATGAGTGGCTGGAGCCCGAATTTCGGGGAGGGTTCAACGCCCGCGGAGGAAGAATAGATCGTCCAGTTTGAAAGATGGAGCTCACAGGAATCCATGCTGGACACGTTCGGTTCTAATGTAGACGCTAACTTAAGTTACTCATAATTCTGTATAAGAATTGATTGTAAATAGCAAACAAAATAAAAAAAAAAAAAGTATTGAAAGTTCAGTTTCCTACTCAGTCTACGCCGCGTTAGAGTATTTCGTTTAGAGAGGAATCGTTAAATATCTCACGAGTATCGTAGATGTTCGTTGGATGTTTCGACAACCGCGCGAAAACACAAAAGCAAACTAATTGCAACGCAATCGTTCCACGCGTCTCGTTGGTCACCGGCTAATTAGAACGCGATTCGCGCGTTTACATGCAGCGACCGATATGCTTTGTTGAAACGAGCGCCAATGATTTCTGACGCCGAGGTGTACGTATTCACTGGATTACGTTTGATACACGTGACGCGATCGCATAGAATATTTACTGCAACGCCCGTTGTTGTTGGATGGGTGCACGCGTATGGAGAACTTTCAGATGTTACGGAATAGCGTATTTATTATACGAAGCTCGGCGCAAAAAGCGAAACAAATTTAATTTGGTTTAATTTGGTTTGGATCGATGTGATTTAATTTTGGATTTTTGATTTTCAGAATTTCAGCCATCTTCGATTTACCATATACCGTATCTCCATACTACATTTTCACCTTTCTTCAGCTTTCTATTCTTTTCTCGTGCATACGTTTCCACGTCTACTTCTAATAATCTCTGACTATTCCTCCAGTGTTTCATAAAATATCCTGTCAGTAAACTGCGTCTACCATATTAGTACACGTTACGCGCTACATCTCCATATTCTCGTCTTATTTACATCTATTCCACGATAAGTTCAGCTTATTACCAATACACGAGGTCGAATGGTTCCTCTTACTTTCGTGTTGCCATGTTCCCAACACTTGAATCTCCTCGTTGACGCGCCGTTCCTATATAATTTCACGATTTGATCCTGGCTATTAATCTCTGACCACGCTCCCGTCCCCCCTGTTCCAGCAAAATATCCAGTCATTAAATCCCATCTAACGTATTTATACCCGCCACCGCGGCTTCGCCTTCGCCTTCCTCCTACCTTATTATATCGCAACCGAGCGACCTCATTATTATGGAAACAAACTGTTGTGGAAAACAATGGCAACCTTACGTTGTCAAACCTGCCTTGATATTCACGCTACCGGGGATAACAATAGCGTTCGGAATGTTCTAGCCAGCCTTTGTAAACAAGATTACCGAACGTCGAAAAGAGAACGTCTGAATTCAACGGGTGCCACTGTCAGCGATATTCAGCGCACATAGAAACGCGGGGTTGTATCGAATTCCTACGGTTCAGTACCCGTAAGACCCGAGCAATTCCGGATTATCGGATGTCTTCCAATATCGATGCCCCACGGAACCGACCAAGATGGTTTTTACGCGACGAGCAAATTGCGTCGATAGGCCACCGCCGCCGGAAGTTACGGGGAACGTTTCAGGTATTCTACGGTCCATCAGCGCATTGCGTCGGGACCACCAGTCACCGATTATGGACCACCAAGATTTTTCGTTTAGTTGTTTCTTCCGTATCATTATTTCGATATATGAATTTTTGTTGAGAATCATAGCGTATTGATTATATTAATTACTGCATTCTCCTTTTTGGAAACTCTGCGAGTAAATAATAAATACTGTTCCGTACTGCGTTCGTGTAAACTCTTCGATAGTTGAATCACTCGACTGCCACTCGTCGGTTTATTAAAAATATCAAACACGTGGACTTTTAACTACATTCATTTCCAACTCTTCCCATCTATCGGATCCATTCCAAAAATATGATGCCTCTATGATAAAATTACTCAAGCAAACGTTGATGAATCTCGTCCAATATCAAAATATCGCCCAATAAAAAAAAAAAGCCACAGGTGCAACATTTTGCAACCATTCATCCACTTCAAATCGAAGTTCGAGTACGTAGATTCGCCAGAATGAAGTTGGATAATTTTTGGTCGATCGTCGTGGTGCATAATAAATAAACGACGGTCGATCTGGAGAGATTTAAGCCCCGGATGTTTATATTCCGCGCAGGTTTACGCAACGCACAGACACACGCGAGTGGAGAACGGGAATGGCGCGTGTTCGAAATTCAAAGGTGGTCGTCGGCCCCCCCCCCTCGATCCGATCCGATGCGGTTGCATCGTTTCGCGAGGGGGGAGCGATGGGGGGACGTCGATTAACAAAGCCAATCCGTACCTGTCCCGGACAGAAGGTATTTTTAACTTCGTGACTCCGAAAACATCCAGCAATCCTGCCTTCGAAATGCGACGATCACGTTCGCGCTGTCGATGAAGTTACGTCCGGTAAACCTCCCCCCCGCCGAAATCCTCGCGAATAGCGATCGAAGATGGACCGTATTCAACGTGGTTTTAAATGGAAAACAGAAGATGAACCACTCGTTCAGCTAATATTAGAATCTTTACCATAAATTGGAATATTTCAGGATAAATAAAAATTGAATTATTCAAAAGGCCAGACATTTACTGTCGAAACGCGTGAATCGATTCGTGCATGAAGAATCTATTTCTAATTCCGTCCACCGTGTTTGTGTTCTGCTGCGTTCAGAGATCTTGGTAACAAGAAAAATAGAAATTGATCTATTAAAATAGAATTGACTATGTATCTTTTCGTACATGTATAGAGGACGTTCCGTACCGGTCTCCCAATGGTCCTGAATGGAAACCAAAGCTGCCAACGAACGGATTACAATCGATTTCATCGACTTTTCAGTTCGTTCCTTGATTAAACTTTTATTTCTCCACCGGGCCCGCTAATGGAACGCACGCTCTGCAAACGGGACTGTTGATTGCGAACGGTGGTTGATGATCGAAATGGCCGTTTATGGTACAGAGGCGACGAAGTTAAATGAAACACAATAGACGAATGAAAGTACTCTTTTTGGAGGAAAAAAAATGATGTTCTTATTGTCCGAGGCATTTAAAATATTCCTATCGGTTTAAAGAAATTTCAAAAAAATTGTGCAGGACA